GGCCCGCCCAGACCCCCAGTCCCGCGTCGCCCCCGCCCCTGGCGCTCTGGGGCTGGAGTGCGTTGCGCCCACGTGGCCCTGAAGGCGGAGCCGGCGGAGGGCTGCGAGTTGCTGTTGGAAAGTTTGTTAAGTTCAGGTTAGGGTTTGGGTATCTGCTCTGTTTTAGAAAGAGGTGGCAGAGGTGAAGCGGATGTGGTGTTTAGGGCGTAACGCGACACAGAGGGTCGCCGTACCAGGAGAGACAGCACCCCAGAACCGGTCGCAGGACAGCGGGAGCGCCGCACCAGACCTGCTCGGCAGAGTGCACGCTTTAGAAATCACGGCGCAGCTCTGCACTGACTAGGTTACAGATCACCGCGCAAAGACTGAACCGCGGGGTCCTTACCGTCCCGGAAGTTCGCCTCGGTGGCAGATAATGCTGTGTTTGTCCTCACTGTGTGCTCAGATCAGAAAGGATTGCCTGTTCGCCGTGGCCCTTCAGTTTTGGGTTCACTGGTATTGGCCACGACTCGGTGCCAGAGTCACGGGCCGTACCTGTTCTTTAGAAGATCGAATTGAGCAAGAGAGTCTGTGCACACAAACTCAAGTCGTCGCTGGTGTGCTGACTGTTCCTTTACCAGTGTGCTTGATGTTTCCTAGGGAACGGATTATGTACAAGAACAGTCAGTCTGGAAGCAACACCTGCACCCTCCATTTGTTTTGTGTATGGAATGAGCCGTAGCCTAGTAGAGTTAGAAAGGAAGCTTTTATGTTTGGGGACAGGGACCATTTCAGATGTAATGATTGGGAGGAATTTAGGATTTTCTTATATGAGCTTTCTTCACTGTAAGTTTTTCAGTAATTATATTTAAAAAGAACTCTTTGAGGGTTGACTGGTGAGAAGGGTTGTGGACAGGAATAAAATAATTAATTCGCATGCAGTACACTGCTGCTGTGACTTGAGGCCAGCCATTTCTTCCTCTGGAGCATACGGGACAGCAGTGTGCCTCAGACATGCAGGGACTTTGCTTCTCTACTCCGTCATCCCTCTGTCCCTAACCCCACTTACATTGTCCGCCTAACAACTGGGATGGAGAGGCAGGAAGGAACTCTACAGATACGAGTACTTCCAAGAACACCCAGGTTTCTAGCTTAAGCATCTGGGTGGATGGTGAAGATGTTAAATGACCCAGGAAATAAAAGCAGGAAGAAGACTATTTGGGGGCATGTTGAATTTGTTATGGCGAAGAGACAACTTGTTAAAACAGTCAATATCAGAGAAAAGTGAACAGGAATGGAGGGAACTGAATTTTAGAAGTAATTCTCTAAATTGATGACACACGATGAAAAGGAGTGTTCTGGCCATGTAGAGAACAGGGAAACCCAGTATGTCTGTGAGTTAGAAGGGCTACCTGTAGCTATGTGACGGTGATGTTGACCCTGGCAAATTCTTCAAACCTTTCAAGAACACTCTGCTGCCTGCTGTTCCCAGCCTTGAAGTAGAGGGGTCAGTCTGTAGTATTCTAAGTGAACTAAGCCAGTCTTAACTCACATCCTTGGAACTAATAGCAGTGCCCAGTTACTATAGCTCTTCACGCCATGGAACTTCTCTTCTAGAACCTACTTGGACCTTAACGTGATCCCTTTGCACCTTTACATACAGGGGCCTCTAAGTAGGAAACTGTTCCAGTCAGTGTGTTTTTCTGGCCTTTGTTTCTTTTTCTTTAGCTACCCCCCCCCCATCTTATAGTTGAGGCCATGCACTACTCAGGTGTCATCACACTGCCCACTCTGTCTGTCTAGCCCAGCACTTTCCACCAGAAGACAGTAACACAAGAACAAAGTACTAAGGCAGAACTTTGGTGGAAAATAAACTTAAATAGAATTTAGTGGGAAAACAAAAAAAGCTAAAATAAAATTTGACAAAAATAACTGAGGGAAAACAATAAAAGAATCAGAGGAGAGCAGTGGGAGAGGCTATATGGAATTGCTCTAAAAATTAAAATGGATTAAGAACCATCTCCTTGGAAGCCTTCCTCTAATTAATTACCACTGTTCCTATTATCTTAGCTCAGCAATTCTCAAGTGTGATCCAAAAGTCCCCAGAGATTTCTGAGCCCATTTTAGGGAGTCAACAAGGTCAAGACATTTTTCATCATTAGACTGAAATGTCACTTGCCTTTTTCATAGTGCTAACATTGAGCCTGATAGTGTAAACACAGTAGTAAGCAGAGCAAATAAAGGCAGTAGCACTAAATTTACATTTACATTTATTATATTCTTCATTGGCACTTAGAGTAAAAGGGAGAAATGCCACATCAGGTTACTTTGAAGTGTCTTTGATAAAGCATTAAAAATAATTACTTTTACCAAATCTTAATTCTTAAGCATAGGTGTTTAATAATCTATTTGACTAAATGGGAATATAGAGAGCAGTTCTGCTGCATGCTCAAGCCTCATGGCTGCTTTAAGGAAAACCCTTGGATTATTAGTTGAGCTGAATGCCAACTTGGTCACTTTTTTTTTTTTTAAATGGAATGGAACACTATGTTTACTTGAAAGAATAACTAATAAACTGTAATTATTCAGAACTGGATAATTGAAAGGCATTTTATTAAAAATGAGAAGACTTATTTTACACTCCCTTTGAAGAGGGAGACTGATTTTCTGAAGGAAAAAAAAAATGGATAATATGTGTTCCATAATGAATTTCAGCTTCCAAGAAAAAGTCAGAACTTTTGAAAATATTTACCTGTTTTTATGAGCTAAACAAAAAATAGACTTTTATATACAAGATTGCTATTAATATTAACAAATGTGATGTCTCAATATTGTATAATAAAATTCCCAATATTTGGATGATCTGTATAGCTCAGTGAATCAATATTTTCTGAACACCGATATCACAAAATCATGAATGGATAAAACATCATTTTATCCATTTTGAGTTCATTGATGAAGATTTCAGGTTGTAAATTGTAACTAGTCTTTAAAAGACCACCACTTGTTAAGTTTCAAAATAATATCAAAGAATATCTGTGGTTATCTGAAAGCCTATTAGAAGTATTTTTGCCCAAAAAAAAGTATTTTTGTCTTTGAAATATTAGTGATGAAGAAAATATCACTGATTATTAGAGAAATGCAGTAAAAAAAAACAATGAAACATTCTTCACACATGTTAGAATGATTATCATCAAAAAGATAAATAACAAGTGTTGACAAGGATGTAGAGAAATAGGAATCCTTGTATACTGTTGGTGGAAATGTAGGTTGGTGCAGTCACAAAGAAATAGCATATGATCCAGCAATTGTATTTCTGGGTATTCACCCAAAGAAAATAAAACCACCATCTTGAAAAGAGATACACAATTCCATGTTTATTGTAGCATTATTTATACTAGACAAGCATGTAAACAACCAAAGCATCAATCTATGCATGAATGGAAAAAGAAATTGAAATATTGAATATTATAATATAATATTATTCAGCAATGAAAAAGTAGGCAATCTGTCACTTGTGACAAAATGGACAGATTTTGAGGCCACTGATGCCAAACAAAATAAGTAAGAAAAAGACAAATACCATATGATCTTATTTATATGTGAAAAATACATAAAAGCAAAAAAAAATGCCAAAATTATGGATCAAGAGAACAGATAGGTAGGTTTTACAGTGTGTTTGTGTGTATGAAATGGGTGAAGGTGGTCAAAAGTTACACGTTTCCATTTATGATATAAATGACTCATGGGATAGGCAGCATGATAGCGGTAGTTAATAATACTGCATTGCCCATGCGAAGGTATATCTTAAAAGTTCTCATCACAGGGAAAAAAAAATAGAACAATGTGTGGTGATGGAAGTTAACTATACTTATTGGGGTGATTATTTCACTATATATATATATATATATGTATGTATGTATGTATTACATAATATTGGAAGT